GAGAGAGAGAGAGATGCAGCTGACCTGTAAACGCTTCTTAACAAGCTGTATCGACTGCGCAATGGAGGCGGCATGGCTCGTCCAGACACCTTCAGTCTCGTCGAGTATCGGCCAACACCGAGCAACAATTTTGTCAACTGAAAGCTCATCTGATGTCTTCTCTTTAATACCCAACTGAGAACTGTACCCATGTCGCCACAATAAGCCAGAGCAATGAACACCATTTTCTTCGTGTTTTCCTCCCCTTGAAAACCCAGAAATTCTATGAGCACCCAATAAAACTGAATTGATTTCAGGAGTTCTTAGATGAGAGAAGCCATAGATTGGGACCCATCCTTTCAATTTGATGTTGGAAGAGGAATTGTTGGAGTTGGGGTGGCTGGAGAGAGAGGAGGATGAATGAGAGAGAGAATGAAATATACATAGAAACAAAGAATTGGGGTGATCTTTTTTTAGAGAGGGAAAATGGAGAGGGAGAGATTGAGAGACAAACAAAAGTTTGGGGTTTGTTTTCTTCAACAGAAGAAAACCCATTTGATTTTGAAGAGGAAGTAAAAAGCACTCGGATGCTCTCCGTTTTATGCCTGCAAATAATGGGAAATCAGAAATTGATCCCAAATGAAGGGTACGTTTGTTTAGTGGGGAAATTTTGCGAGAAAGTTCTTTCTCGCAAAAATGCTGTCATTTTTGTTTCCTGCTAAATCAGGAATTTTAGTACATGGGAAAATGTTTTTTCATTGTTTATTGTCAATTCGTGCAGCTTATAAGAAAAGTAGTTTTATGCGGTGTTATACTCGTTTGGTCAGATCTATGCCGGATTGGATGGGCTATTTAGATCAGGCCTAAATTAAAAGTCAGTAGTTCCTCTAAAAAATATTAAAAATAAATTAAATTAAATTAAATTTTAAATAGAGTTCAAGGGTTGGGTTTAGGGAAGACAAACAATTAATAACCTTAATAATAATAATAATAAATAATAAATATATATATAAAAAGAAAATTTTAAGGAAAATTGAGCTGGAACCCATATTATCCTGGAATTCATTGGTCTTGATTAATACCCATCCAAAATGGTGATCTAGAATAGAAATCACTGGGTTTTAAAATAGGGAAGTATAGAATGAGATCATTTACCTTTAGTACAAGGTGGTCTCATTAATCTTGACCATTGGATATAAAGTTGGGTGGCTGCAATTATTCCATTGACTAAGCTCAAACTTCAAAAGAAATTTTTTCGAATTTTGTGATACATCAAAGCTATCAAATTTTACATAAGATGGTTGAAAGTAATTATGACCATCTTGTATCAAAGGTAAATGGTCTCATTGTATACAATTCTTATAAAATATAGGTTTCATCCATGGACAAACTTTCCACGAGTCTTAAAAGCATATGCCCTAAAAAAAAGGATTATATACAATGGGACTATTTATTTTTGGTATGGAGAAATCACAATTAGTTACAACCATTCCATATAAAATTTGATAGCATATGCCCTAAAAAAAACGATTATATACAATGGGATTATTTATTTTGGCATAGAAAAGTCACAATTTTACAACTATTCCATATGAAATTTGATAGCGTGGGTGTGTCACAAAGTTTGAGAAGGTTTTTATGAACTTTGAGCTTGGTCAATGAGATAAATGCAACCACCCATTTCACATCCGGTAATCAAGATTAATTGTGACCACCTTATATCAAAGATAAATGGTACAGTCTCATTATATAAACTCACCTAAAAGGGTGAAATGGTGGGAATTTCCCAAGCCATAGCTATATGAAATGGTGGGAATTTCCCAAGCCAAGCCAATATAGCTAAGATGAATTCAATCATGAAACATGATATCGGGATACATGTGTTAGTATCTCACACAAATGAGAATGTGAACAACTTGAAATTAGAGCATAGGCTCTAAACAATCAAATTAGAGCCTACCTTTAAATAGCATCAAGAAATGTGGTTTCAATATTGGAAATCTTTGTGATAGCCTTAAAATATATTTTTATATTTATTCATAAAGTTTAAAGCTTAAAAAATAATGTAGATTGACAGATCTATGAACACTTGAAAATATTGAAAATTGATGCTCAAAAAATGTATTACAAAATACATTATTTTCAAAACTTGAAATCCATTTTTTTCTCATATCAAGGTATTTTGATGTGGAGATGATCAATTTGAAGATGTTTGGGTATCAAAAACAACCTCTTCTAGTGAAAATTTTGAGGTAGACTCAAATTTGATTGTTTAGAGCCTCGGTTCTATATAAATTTTTTCCATATTAAAATGAATGTTTGAGATACTTGATAGTTGAAACATTTGTACTCTATTTAAAGATGGGGGATATATCTTAGGTGATATTAAGCAGTTTATAATGATACTTAAAGAAGAAAGATTAAACAAAACAAATTGCTATAACATCCAACACAAATGTCGTATTTTTTATGTAAGAAGTCATGCCAAAAATCACCGACAAGCATGTCATGTTACATTGTTCCTTTCTTCCCCATATTCTAACATTGTAAAATATTTTTTGAGTTTGGCTTTCAAGAGAGAGAGAGAGAGGGGGAGGGAGAAGAAGGGGTTTTGGATATCAATGCGTATAATTTGTAATCCTCTGTCGCACCTAGAGCTAGCTGTAGATCTACAATGTAATCAATATTTGCATACTGATACTGATATGCAATTACCATGGCTGAGCTTTTCTCAACTTGGATCTTCTTTCTTGCTAATGAAACAAGCGAAATTCTCAATATCTAGAATTATATTCTTTATTTTTTCTCTAAAGAATATATCCAACATTATGTTCTTGTGTATTGAAACAAATGAAATGCCCAATATTTAGCATTGTTGTCCTATCATGTTGTTGGTATTATGATTATAAACTCTAAGCCAATTTGTAATCGCCTACGTTGGTTTGGAACCTCGGGGTCCTTGGTTTTGGATGGTAAAAATCGCCCGGCTTGTTCAAAACTGAGTAGCTCGCTGGTGAAATACCAAATTCATTGTAGGAGCTTGAGCAAGTCCCGAGTCCTGAACGGTTTTTTCATGAACTTGCAACTCCCGAGTCCTCAATGATTCTTCGTGTTTCATGATAATTTCAAGGCAGCCCAGTTTGCCATTGTTTCTGCGATTTTTCTCATACAATTGGCTAGCTGACAGGGGAATTGGTGATCCGAGTCAAAGTCCGTACCGAATTCACATCGGATTGTGGAATTTAAGGTCTTACATATACGAGGCTAAAGCATAGAGCAGTCCTACTTCATTGTACCAACCAGCTGCAATTTGCTCGAGTGCTTAAATGAATGATTCATTGTTTCTGACAAAGATTAAACATTGCTGACTGAAAAAAAACAAAAACATTTGTGGCACCCCTCCACAAATACAAAGTTGCAAGTTGAAACCTCAAAGCACCCATGTATAACTATAAGATTGAACCCAAAATGGAACTACTCATTACGATCATTTATTTGGGTTTTACCTAATAAGTTAGTACAAATTGCTATAATTTGCAAAAGATGTCATTTCTTCTAGTGTGTTTAGTGCACCATGCCTGTGTTTGAGAAAGAGATTCGCTGGCTATTTCTGATGTAGTGAATTTTTTCAATCATCATCCAAGCCTTGTCTACAGTGACTTATGCCAATGTCCCCAAAATTTTCAGAGTTCGTTATACGAGTAATTCTTGCATTCATACAATTGAAATGTTATTTTAGTGTTGCAGTTGCCCTTTAACACATATCTAATGAAGAAAGACTCCCTCTACACACATTTTTATGGATCTCTGGTTGAGGACTTCTCTCTCTCTCTCCGCTTATCTCTGGAGGGTCCTTCTCTGCACAAATTTTATCTTGAGCCTCTCTCTATCTAATGGGGAGACTCACATTTTTATGGATCTCTAGTTGAGGATTTTTCACTCTATGTCAAGGTTTTAAAAATCTGTGATTTTGATAGGATCCAGCCGATCTAAATTGATAATCAGTCAGGCCGATCCTTGATCCCACTAAATATTGGGAACCGGCAATTTCCTCCCATGAACTGGCTTATTTTGATAAAACCGGCAAGTCCTATTAGAAAGCGAGTCCCTCTATTTTTCTATTTTCTATTTTTTATTTCTTATTTTCTATTTTTTTAATTTTTAAATTTTTTATTCGCTAGTTCACTAAGCTATATTTTTTATCCAAACCGCCGATCTGTCGGCCCACACCGAGTTTCTAGTTTATTGACTCTTTTTTAAACCTTGCGCTCTATGCATTGTTTTTATTTGAGGCAGTGTTCACAAAAGCGGACGGTCTAACTGCCAACCGCCCAGTTAGATCGGATTCGGCTACGACAGGTTTCGATTCTGGGCGATTTTGGTGATCAATCGGTATTTAAAGAAAAATACAAAAAAATGAATATAAATTTTCAAAAATAAGTAATTTGATCTATAATGCATTTTTAAATATTCTTTACATTATGGTAAAGATTAAAAATTGTTTTGGTTACTAATACTTATTTTTATATTTTTTCAATCATTTTCAGAAAATTTTTAAAATATCTCTAGGTATCGATTAGTTAAAATTTATTTTTTTCATTAATTTTCAACTTCATTTGCAACTTCATTTGCATGTGTTTTGTTTTAATCATTCTTTATATGCTTTTCATATCTTAGTAAATTTTTTACCACTTTTTTTTATCTCCGATTAGAACATTTGAATTGGCGAGTTTTTCGACTAGACCGCATTTGGGGCACGCTCTATGCGAACACTTTGAGGGTCTCTCCCTATCCTCACAATTAAAATGCGCCGCGCCCTTTTCTTCTCTCTCTTCTTATTCGTGTGCCTTTAAAATGAGCCCTTTTCCTTTCATGCGCTTTTCTTTCCCTCCCCCAACCCACTGTTCTCTTATTTCCTTTCTCTGCAGTTCTAATTCCCCTTCAATGGCGGGAACCCTAATCCCATCTTCAAACAAACTAGTTCAGCACACGGAAGAAACACTAACTCAGCCTCCTCCCAATACCCTAGATTTTCCAATCCCCCTGACCAGGCATCCCCCTCCCATCTCGAAGCAGGTCGAGCTTGACAGGGCCATGGCTGCCTCTGCGAAATCAGGGTTTTCCATTACCAAGAGCGATGTTATCTACGAAGACCAGTGGCTTATTGCCATTAACAAGCCCTCTGGAGTTTACTGTGATCACGTTCTGGCTTCGATTCCTAGACTTCTTGGTGTTTCTCCAGAATCATCTGGTATGAGTTTGGAAAAGCATTTGAGTATAATGATTTTTATTTTTATTGTGAAAATTTGATAGATGTAGAAGCTCTTTACTTTAGAAATATGCGGATACAGTTATGAATTCACTGCAAAATAATACAAAAGTAGAGGAATTTAGTTGAATTTGTGCTGGGCACCTTAAATCATTCATGTACAAAGTATTTCTTATAATTGTTATCGAAACTATATTTCCATTAGGATCTGAATAAGTTCTATTAGAATTTAATGGGTATGAACAGTGTTTTCGAGAATTGAGTTACTGGGGCCTCCCCTTTGGGCGAGGGCGAGTTTTCCAGAGTCTTATGTGCAACTCAGGGAACATTGAAAATATTGAAATCTCCAAAAATATAGAAAAATATTGGATTGTTGTATGATGCATTGATATAAATTTCAGAAACCCCTGAGAAAATCCTTGAACCGGTTAAGTAGACTCCATTGAGAAGAAATCCATTTATGTATTTTTTTAAGCTTATTTGGATCCTTTTGGTTGTTTTTTTTATTCAACCTTTCTATTCTTATTTTATTTTTTAATATTTTATCTTTTTTTTCTAAAAAAATTCAAGGGTCTCGGGACAGGGTGGAGTACCTGGGCCAAGGCGAGTTTTGAAACATTGGTTACGATTTTAACAAAGAAAACAAGTTCATGGTTATGATGTCCCATACAGAGTACGTACAGAGTAGCATGCTTTGAGCTCTTTAAACTAAATAAAATTTTAACCTGCATTGGAATTTACATCGGAGTGCTGATAATTGTGAAGCTCTTGGGTATTGATTGCCTTCTTTGAAGATTTATGTATTTTATTATTGGAGATTTCTCTAAAGTAGCTTTGTCTCTTAAGATAATTACTCCTTACTCTTTTGCAGGAGCTGAAAATCCTTTGGAACTCCATCTGGGCAACAGGCTTGATAGGGATACAAGTGGTGTGATGCTCATAACGAAACTGCATAAAGTAGCAGGGAAATTAGTACAGGCATTTACCGAACACAGAGTCAAGAAGACATATATTGCTCTTTGCATAGGATTGGCTCCTCAATGGGAGGAAATCGCCCTTAAATCAGGCCATGGGAGATCAAAATTTGGTGCTTGGCGTGTCTATTCCGCATCAGACATTGGGCGCACGCTCCCGGGAGGATCAGTAGTGAGAGAAATGGTAACTTCATTTAAAGTACTCTCAGTAAATGGACTTAGCAGTGAAAATATTGATTTCATTGAGAAAAGAAATGAAATGTTGATTGTTAGAGATGAAGGATCAAAAATTAGTTCTACCCATGATGCAAAAGATGAGATTTTGATTAGGGCTTATCCCCAAAGTGGGAGGACGCATCAAATACGATTGCATTGTCAGTATCTTGGGATCCCATTGAGAGGGGATGTGAAGTATGAAGGTCCCCATGAATGGAAGGAGAAAACATATGATTATCATGCACTTCATGCTGAGAATCTGTCATTCGATCACCCTGTTACAGGTTCTTTAATGGAATTTCATGCACCTCTTCCTTCATGGGCAAGAGAAGCTTTGTCATGCACCAAGGGCTGATAAAGTTGCACCCTGATTTAATTGATGGAAAAGTATTTGGTAATTCGACTAATTCATGTGTCAGCCTTGTTTTTCACAGGATATATGATATAAAAGGTTGCGGTTTATGTAAGGTGGCAACCTTACTTGTAAAAAGAAAGTTGCGATATTCTACATTGTCCATTTTAGTTGGATAGTGCATATTATGTACATTTTATTGTAAAAAAATGGCATGCCTTTTAAGATAGTGTTGAATCCACACCATCCAAATAAAATGGATGGTGTTGATTTTTTCAATCTTATATAAAGTTGTAACCTTATATAAATGAAAGAAAAGATCGCAGCCCAAAAAAAATGAAGCAAGGACCAAGCAGTACACATTCATTATTCATAAATGAAAAAGAAGCAAAAGAAACATAATCAATTTTCTTCTTGAAGTAGAACGAAACAAGCTGGGATTTTCGAATGAAACAACGTTTGGACAAAGTAGAGTATTCAAAGTCTCCAATACTGAATGAGGGCAATTTACTAATAACTAGCATATTTTCTTTGATGAGATGATTTCAGAAGACACATGACCGCTACAGTAACATGGAAGGTTTTGCTTCAGAAGACAAACCTTCGCATAGAAAGATGTACCCTAATATGACTCATCATTGTGCTGAATCAGTGACAGTCCACTGGGTTTCAACCGGATCAGCCAGGCGACTATTAGCTCGGTTCTCGGGATGGGCCAGAGTGCTCAGTGCTAAAACTGTGTATTTAAGATAAGCTTTCATTTGCAAGAACTAGATTATTAGTCAGCTGTATGGGATTCTGATTAATTGTAGTGTTAAAGCACCCTCATTCAATTGCATTTCATGCCTATTCCGTTAACAAACCTGGTAACCGAACTGTTTCCTTGCATTCTTTCCACTTTTCTGTGAGTATTGTTAATATCATGAGGGACCAATGCCCCTTCCTTAACCATCCATGCATACACAGAGAAAACGTACCGGATACAGACGCTGGTTTTGATTCACATCATAATTATGCAAAGCAAGGGTATGCAATCTTATGATGTTATATTTCTTAGGCACGTAGGAAATGAGATTTTTTTTTTAATAAAGTTTGGTCAGTGGCTTTTAGAGGTTACATCCCCAAAATTTGAGGTCTAAAAAATACTCATAGTATGTATTTTGCCCCGAGGGAATAAATAGACAGAATACTACCACCGGTGAATGAATATTTTTTTTTTCATAACAAACTCAATATCTTTAAACCAAATTGGATGTACGGACAATACCAAATGTTTTTGCATAACAAACTCAATATCTCTAAACCAAATTGCACGAACGGACAAGTTAATCTCAATAAAGGAATTTAAAGAGCAATATATCATGTAATAAATTTGGGGAAAGAATATCAAAATAGAAAAATCTAAAATTACAGTTGGTGTCTAAAGATAACCTACAAACTACCAACATACAAAAATGCAGGTGATTTACCTTAATTAGCCATCATAGGTTAATTATATTAACAAAATGAAAATCACCGATTTCTGTTGAACAAAAATTACTAGAGAATATTTTTCAAATCCCTTTCTACAAAAATACATCTTTAAGGAATGAAATTTGTAATTCGAAAATTCAGGAAAACAAGAAAATTCTATTGCCTTATTTTATTATTTATAAAAATGGTTTAATCGTAATCATATATGCAATTAAATCTTATTTATGAAGACTCTGTAAGGAGATACTCATATTTGTCACCTACTTCAAAATTATTAGAAACTATATTTAAAATACGTAAATTTTATGATTCAAAAATTTTTCTGATGAATCATATACATGCAAACAAACCTTATCTATTAGGAATTATGACGTCATGTTAAATTATTTAACAAGTCTCTTGAATTTAAAAATTAAACAATTTGCAAAAATTTAGGGAAAAAAATCCGCATTCCTTTCTTAATTAAAATTCCCATCAAATCTATCTTTTATATCAATTCTCTCTCTAGTTGATAAACATGATTTTGTATTTCAACAGTTAAGATTAAATCAATAAAATAAAAAAACTAAATCCTGCATTTTTCTCTCTCTCTAAAACCTGTCTCCTTTTTTCCTCTCTCATCCTTAACATCCCTATGCATCTCTCTCCTCCCGTACTCTCAAGGCACCCACCAATATTATTTTGAATAATAAAACATATTCAAAATCCACTCATGTTGCCATATGTCAAGAATCATTACTACACATTTCAAATTAATCACAATGATTTCAAGAAATGAGATCTTATTTACGTATATATCTAAAATCTCTTCTCTTTCTTTACAAGATCGATCCTTTGCTATAAGAGAAAATCCACAATACCTATCCCTCTCCTCTGTCTGGTTCTATTGTTTCTTTTTTTCTAACCAAGTACTAAAAGAGTCATTTGGCTTTTCTTTTAACGTTTGGAGATAAAAAAAGAGAAAATTCTGAAAGTATTTTCTTAAGTATAATCATGGCTCAAGGGGTTGATTTTGCATACTGGTTTTGCAGTTGAAGAGAGAGTGCGGTTAACACTGATTTTGACGTGCAACATATCGTAAAAAAGACGAAATTAGATTTCAATAGAATGCTCAAGGTAAGTAGAGCTCTTTAGTAAAAATTGTTTTTATTGCATTTCTTCTTTTTAGTGTTTGGGTGATTGATGATCAAAGACTAATTCGGTGTCCGAATTATTTTAGAAAGACATAACTATAGTTAATGAATCGGTTCTTTTGGAGGCACCATTACTGCATCTGGTCCATTGGGAAAAGGTTATATCTCAATTTTGTAATGTTGAAGTAAGATTCACCTAAAAAAGCCATCCCAAAAGGTTGTTCTGACATAAAAAAAAAAGAAAATCAACAATTGATCATGTTGACCTCGCGATGTAACGATATGAATGAACAAAAGGATTTCGAGTCATAAAGTGGTGCTTCTTGTTCCATGCTATCTAGGCAACCGATTGCGCTGCAAATTTCAAATAGATTCTATTTCAGCATGTTTTCCATTTTGCCAAGGATTTGTTCCTTCTTTTGATACTTTGTTTTGGTATAAATTATATGAAAGCTTCTTTTGTTTTAGTAAATCCAGTACCCTACATGATAACATTATACATCGTCTTATTGTGGAAGCTGACTAAAAAAATGAATGTTCTTTAGTTATAAAAAAATTCTCTAACGGCTTTGTACTTTGACATTTGCAATACAATTAAACCTCTTGGCTTGCCTTAAAGAAAACCCTATATTTTTATAGCCCTTGTGGAGGAAACACTCTCCAAAGCAACAAGTGCCTTCTAATGCTCCAAAAGAATTTGATTGACAGACTAAAGAAAAGGATGCCATGGATTCAGAAACTATGAAGTATGCTGCAGTTGAGCCTGAGAAGCATATGGACTCTATTTATTGGGAATCCACACTAAATTTGCTCCAAAAGAATTTGATTCACAGACTAAGGAAAAGGATGCCATGATGGACTCTATTTATAGCCTGAGAAGCTGATGGACTCTATTTATTGGGAATTCACACTTTGCAGGATGATACAATTAAACCTCTTGGCTTGACTCTAAAGATAACCCAGCCTTTTTTAGACTTTATGGAGAGAACACTCTCCAAAACACCCAGAGTTGTGCCTTCTGATGCTCCAAAAGAACTGGATTCAGTTGGTTGTTTAGCTGCAAATCCAGTATTATCAGCCAGAAATGAAGAGTATTTCATGCCAAAAGATACTAGGATGGAGGAAGGAAACAAGGGTAACTTATATGACAAGAATTCCTTCATAGAAAACATGGGAGAATTGATTAGCACACCATTACCTGAAAATGACGATCTCGAGTTCATGTTCATTGGAGGAAGTTTAGCCGAATTGCCACTATGTGACTCACTCCTGCCTTTTCCAGATAATTTTGATCTGGACAAGAAGTTTCCCCCACTGGGAGATTTGTTTAACCAGGATGCTATGTCATTATCAGAAAACAGCCCTCTCGAGTCCATCTTCACCTTGAATCCACTTTTAATCGATATTGATATTGATTTGGACAAGGATTTCCCTCACTGAATCCAACCTAATGGGATATATAAACTGTAATTGTGATTAGTCTTCTCTTCACTTTCTCATTTGTTCAAGTTTTGAATTATTTTAATCAAATTTATTTTTTAAACACCGAAGGATTATGCAATAGGATGGTTTCATCAGATATTGTTTTGTGGGTGAATCGTTCCATTGACTAACCCAAACCTTGAAGTCTTCATTACTAATAATTTCTTGCTAGTGCTTTTAGGGTTTAGATACGTAGACATTGCTCAATAAAAAGTGCTTGTGAAAATATTCATTCTGATTTGATCCTCTTTAGACATTGGTAATTTGTAGTTGTGAATAAAAAAAAAAAAACAAAACAAAAAACAAAAAACAAAAAACAAAAAACAAAAAACAAAAAAAACAAAAAACAAAAAAAACAAAAAACAAAAAGAAGAAGAAGAAGAAGAAGACAAACATGATGCAATTTTTATGTGGGTGTTGTGCATTTTAACGAGATATAGTAGTGTACTAAACCGAGTACGTCGAGTTGAGTGACAATTGGGATTATTTAAAAGAATAAAAAAAGAAATTTAGTAAAAAATAAAGTCATGCTATAAAATTTTTTCAGGACATAGTTTAAATGTATTTGTAAAGATGGGTGATTAGTTTTTGCCATTGTCACATTTTTACTTTCTTTTGTTTGGATTTTTTTAAAAATATCCCAAACTAAAAGATTAGTGAGTATTTTTGCCACAACCACGTTTTTATTTTATTTTCTTTTGATTTTTTTTAAAATATCCCAAACTGTAAATTGGGTTTTTTTTAAACCCACGTCTTTAATTTTTTTAACTTTTTCAACACATTTTGAATTTACTTTTAATTTTTTTTTATTTTTCAATGTTTTATTTTTTTATATTTTTTTTGGGCCCTTCAACCTAGATTAGGGACTTGATCCTGTAACTCAACTCAGCCAAAGGGCGAGTTCCCTAAGCATGGCGAGTTTTTGTATACCAAGATATAGTACTGTTTGATAACAAATTTATAAAAATACTCATAAGA